GCCGCCGCCATGTTGTGGAGACGCTGTGTGTTTCGTTGTGAAAGTGAAATTACTTTGTTTGGCCTTCCAAAAGAGGACAAAACTAGAAATCAGTGGTTAAGTTGTATTTACAACACTGTTCCGGAACAGTTCAACCCAAATATTCAGATGTGTGCAGCGAATTTTACGGAGGACGAGGACTGTTTCCTGGGAGAGTAGCCTACAATGCTGGTGTCTGTTTCTATAAAGTGGGGCAATTCCAACTTTGCAAGGACAGTCTGGCACTTCTGACTCACAGCCTGTAAGTACGTTTTCACATTTAAAGAATTTGCCACTGACGATTCAAACGCGAGTTTTGAGCAGTGTAGAGTAGCGCTTGTTGTTTGTCGTTTCTCCGATCACAAATGCAGAAATGGTTTTATGTTTACGCAGCGCGGTACGCAATGCGTAAAAAGACAGTATAAGTCATTATAATCAGTAATTATATCCCCACTGGATGCAACAAATGCCTTGTTTATAATGGGTTTTATTGTTTTCGTCTTACCACGCCGGGACACGGCATCATGTGGTAAGGGGCATAACATTTCTGCCATACGCTTGAGGTATTCGGCCAATCACAACACACTGGATAGCTGGCCAATCAGAGCACACCTCGCTTTTCAGAACGACGAGCTTTGTAAAAATCTACGCGTTTCAGAAAGGCCTGGCATAGAGGAGCAACAATAATGTACATTTTTTACATTATGTAAATTTTTTTAACCTTAAACCGCATTAACACATTGCACTGTACCAAATACACAAAAGAATGTTCTTTTTAGCAATGTCATAAGACCCCTTTAACTAGCCAAAATATTCCGCCGTGGAAATTCATAATGGTCTAAGCAGCAAGTTTCTGTGGTTAGACATTTAAATTGCTTTAAGTATTGACTCCATATCACACCATGCATAAATCAATTTTAAATTGTGCTCACCATGTTTAGGATCACGTATCATGCTCAGAGTGTTCAGTTTGAGTACCTTTTCAAACATGACACAATCACTGACATCCACATGGAGCATTAAACATCTGATCTGAAGATCAATACAGAAGCTGTTTACTTCTGTCCCTGGTCTCATCTGTAAGGGATTATATATGACATATACATGGCTGCAGACATGTCCCTGCTCTCCCTCACCATGTTTGTAGATCTCCTTTGTGTCCCTGGCCATTTGATGGGTGACTTGCCAAGGATTGTTCTGTAAATGCAATAAGTAAACTTGAACAAAGTGCTTGTGGGATTTAATGAAGGTGATCATTTAACATGAACAGTATTGACCATTCTTAACCTGTATTATCTAAGGTTCTGTCTTTGTGGTAAACCTTTAAGCCACAATTGATATTATATTTTCAGGAACACTAAGTGGTTATCCTGAAATAGATCTACAAGAATATCCCAAAAGAACCACCTGGTGAGAACCAGGATCTGAAATTGACTGACAGCAATGAAATTTAAATTGAAATTACTTTTTTTATATTTAAATATTTCAGAATGTAATTTATTCTTGTAATGGCAAAGCTGAATTTTCAGCAGCCATTACCCCAGGATTCAGTGTCACGTGATCCTTCAAAAAAGAATTTTAATATGTTGATTTGTTAATCCGGTTTAATTATCAAAGTCATTTTATTTGTAATAAATATACTAATATTTAAGATTGCAGAGTAATAATTACAGAGACCATGTGTGATAGCTGTAAAAATGTTTCCATGCCACCTGTGTCAAGTTAGGATCTACCACGCAGATTAAAAATTTGCTATTTGCGCTCCACTGCAAACATAAAACTGCTATTTTCTTGTCAGCACAAGTGAACGGTTGCTTTGGCTCCTGGTGCCCTCCCATCCACGCTGGCGATGCCACAGCTGAATGAACCGGATGGCAAATGTAGTAGAAAATGTAATCACAGTTGTGCTCTGTAATTTATTCAAGTCGATAGCAGCTGAAGCCGATGTTAGCTGGGAGGCCAGCGTGTAGCGGACAAGTGGCTACACACAGAAATCTTCGAGGCAGAAGACATTTTCTGCAAATATGCAATCTTTAAATTACACTACACTGGTGGGAAGATCGAATGCTTATGTGCCTTGAGAAACAGATGCATGCATATTTGTTGTTGTCGCCACAGGGATGCATTCTCTGCTTCTCACCATTATATGCTCATGCTAAGTACTGATGGCTATAGCCATTGTGGAGTGTCTCATTTCTATCCATGTAGATTTCATGCCTGGGCAAGTGGTGATGCTCGGATCATACATGCTGTTTCATGAGATTTTCATTTGCTGTTTATTCAAGCTCTGTATCTGTGCTAAAAAAAGAGAAATATGGATAAAGAAATCTAATGTCATCAGCTATTGATTTTCTTGTTCTTGACTTGTGGAGCAGAAGAATATGACTCAATCTGCTAATAGGTTGGACGGCTGTCAGAATTATTGAATATAACACTCTTAGTGACCCTGACATCCACAATGTTTTTGACAGATGGTTGTTTGAAATATGCTTTTCTTTATTAAGTACATTGGCTATGAGAATTATGATTAGGGCATCCATCTATCTATCTATCCATCCATCCATCCATCCTATATACAACACTATATATAATATATTGGTAACACTTTAATAAGCCTTTATGTATAATGCATTATAAAAGTGGTTTTAATGTATTAATTATGCCTTGTAATGCACCTTATAATGCATTGAACAATCTCATGAATAATTGTAACCACAACTAATACATTATAACTCTTAACAATTCATTGTTACACTATGCATTTTAAAATCAGTTATAATTTACGACAAGATATACTGTAATGTATTACAACGCACATTATGAATAATTATAATGCATTATAGCCTTCAATAACCCTTTGTAATGCAAATATAAACAAGGCTTTAAGTAAAGTGTTACCAGTATAATTATCTGATGTGTTTTTATTTCTTTCACAGATTCCTGTGCTTATAAACCTCAGTCAAGATGCAGATGTCAACCTTCCAGTCAAGCCTCTCATTTTTGCATTGGCTATGGGAGCTTGCCTTGGAGGTCAGTTGCATTATTTTCTCTCTTATATATCATATACGTGTTTTTTAAAAAAAAAAAACATTCCATTACAGCAACCTTTGTTCAAGTGGATTGACGAACTGCAATAAATACTATGCTTTTAAAAGACATAATTTGTTGTGTTTCCTTTGAATTACAAAACACCTCCTGTAGAAGCGAGAAGTAATTACTTTGCCTAAATGCACAGTATCTGTGATATATAACAAGCAGTTCATACTAGTGATTCAAAAAAGGTCTCTTTTTATTACATTGTGTCAACCTTAATAAGCTGTGGTTTTTCAATGCCCCAAACTTCTCCTCACTGGTTTTGAAAGCACCACAGTGCACAATAGATCTCTCTACATTTAGGAATGTAGCGTGCTTACAAGGCCATCTGAAAATGCCTCATTGCCTGTTTGGCTCTAAGGACCCGGAGAGAGATGTGGCAGTCCTACAGCCTAATCAAAGGAGATGTGTTAGCTGTAGTATCGATCCATGAAATGCTAAGGCAGACTTCTGGTTTTGTTGTCACGCTGACACGTTTCAAGATGTGAACCTTTCATATAAAAACCATTCTTCTACAAGGCCAAACAACATGCTTTAAGAATTATGTATTTTAGGAAATGACAAATTGATGGGTGCAAAGTCTGCAAACTGCCTTTAGAGCTTTAAATTGTTCAAAATCAGAAAATGTATCCCCTATAAGGCCTTTAGTCATTAAACTGAAAATGTGGTGAAAATGCTTTTGTGAAGAAATCAAGAGCCTTCATATATATATATATATATATATGTATGTTTAAAAAAAAATTATATGGAATATCATTGTTTATGGTATGGTATGGTAAACAGTCTAAAACTGAAATTTGCGACATGCTAAAGACCAGTGTTGGGCAAGTTACTCTGAAAATATAATCAAATTACTGATTACTCCTCTTAAAAGTAATCACGTTAATGTTCTGATTACTTTATTTCAAAAGTAATTAGTAATTAGTTACATTACTAGTTACGTTACTTTTTTTCTCCATGACACTTATGAAATCCCAGCATACACGCTCCCGATAAATATTTGTTATTAAAGCATCAACATTCACAGAACACTGTTATTTTTAACTAAAGCAAGCGGCTGCTGCGCCTGCGTGCATGGTTTGGCATGGCAGAATGCCAGCAAAGAGCGCTGCAATTATAATCTCTTAAAGACATCTCAGTTCATCGCATTCTCACAAATCTCTGTTATAACACAATAAATATGCATAATGAATCTTTCATACTGTCTACAATTCGTGTGTTATAATACGAGGATTCATGAGCACACAAATTTCAGCACTGCATTGCTCAACGCTGCAAACACATGTTATAGCCTAAATTGAATCTATGCATAAATTTGCACCTGTTAATCATTTTATTCTCCCGCATCCCGCACACACATGAAACCCGCCCGCAGCAGCACTCGCCCATCTTGTCCCGCTCTGTTGCGTCGGATCTCGCGAGAGCAGGTCTCTAATCCACTGGCACTGGACTCGACAGTGCGTGTGCTACATCCTTTTTACAATCTCTAGATTATAAATCACTGCATTCTGTCAGTAATGTAACGCGGCAGTAACGTATAGAAACCTCGGCTTGTAACTATACTCTAATTCAGGGGTGCCCAACTCTGCTCCTGGTGATCGACTGTCCTGCAAAGTTTAGCTCCAACTCATCGCATTCTCACAAATCTCTGTTATAACACAATAAATATGCATAATGAATCTTTCATACTGTCTACAATTCGTGTGTTATAATACGAGGATTCATGAGCACACAAATTTCAGCACTGCATTGCTCAACGCTGCAAACACATGTTATAGCCTAAATTGAATCTATGCATAAGCTTGCACCTGTTAATCATTTTATTCTCCCGCATCCCGGGATTGCCTGGAGCAGGGTTGGGCACCCCTGCTCTAATTACTATTTTGAAAATGATAACGCGTTAAATTACTCCTGGTGATCGACTGTCCTGCAAAGTTTAGCTCCAACTCTAATCAAAGACACCTGTCTTTACTTTTTAAGTGATCCTGAAGACCCTAATTAGTTGCTTCAGGTGTGTTTGATTAGGGTTGGAGCTGAACTTTGCAGGACAGTCGATTGCCTGGAGCAGGGTTGGGCACCCCTGCTCTAATTACTATTTTGAAAATGATAACGCGTTAAATTACTCTTACTAAAAAAGAAACCAAATTACAGTAACGCGTTACTAAGTAATGCATTACTGCCCAACACTGCTAAAGACACATCACACTGGTTTCATCCCAGTTTTGGAAGTCTTATGAGATTGAGGTGTGGAGTGAGATTAAATCCTACAACTGATGAAGCCACTTGGATCAGAGGTGGGACAATAAATTGAAGAACACACCTAGATGCTCCAGAGTAAATTTTTCTAGACATGCTATTGATGAAGTGATGACCTCTGTCTTTCATCAGAAAGCTATCATGCCTGTGATTTGAGTTGGGACAGAAGTCCCTCTTCGTGCCATGCATTACCAAAGCAGGTGATACAAAAAAAAACCCCTTGCTAAATCACCTCTGCAATTTAGCACTGAAGGTCATTTCATTGCTGGTACTCTAACAGAAGTGATTGCACAGTGGAGAACTTTAAATTGCAATCAGCATAACAAAATCTGCTGTGCACATTGGCACCAAATCAATTCTAATATTAATTTATAAAGACCCGTGTTTGTACAGTGCTGTATTTGTAGAGAACATATAGTGCTATTTAAACATTTACAAATTCTCAGATCCTCTCTCTCAAGGCAGACAAGTGACTGGTTAGAGTATAATTAATAATTATTTAATTAATAATAATTTAATAATTTATGCATTTAGCAGACGCTTTTATACAAATCGACTTACAGTGCATTCAGGCTATACATTTTTTTACCAGTGTGTATATATAGAGAGAGAGAGAGAGAGAGAGAGAGAGAGTATATGGAAGAATTCACTAGGCAAACATTTATTTTTTCTTTAAAAATAAATGAATGTCTATGTTTATTCAAGCTATCAGAGTTATCCAAGATATTCATTCATTTTTTCTTCTTCTCTTTCTATTCCCAAAGGAAATGGAACACTGATTGGAGCATCTGCAAATGTGGTGTGTGCTGGGATTGCTGAACAGCATGGCTATGGATTTTCCTTCATGGAGTTCTTCAGGTATTTGTGTTGGGCACACATTTATTCTAGCACAAATTTGATTAAGAATTAGAGACTCTTTTGCGACCAATTGTGATATGAAACTGATCTCAAATTCCATGCTCATTTCTCAATTAAAGAGACGCACTTTAAGAGATGCTTAAAGTCATGCCAGTATTTTAACAGTTATTTGGTAACACTACAAGGTTCCATTGTTAACATTAGTTAACTGCATTAGTTAACATGAACAAACAGTGAAATAATCATTTAAAAACATTTATTAATCTTAGTTAATGTTCATTAATGTAAACATTTACTAATACATTATTAAAATCAAATGTTGTATCTTTTAACATTACGTTAACTAATGTTTTTTTTACAGGAGTTTCTTATGCTCATCAAGGCTGCATTTATTTGAGCAAAAATACAGGAAAATATTTAATATTGTGAAATATTATTATGATGTAAAATAACTTTTTTCTATTTTAATATACATTAAAATCTAATTTATTCCTGTGATGCAAAGCTGAATTTTCAGCATCATTACCCCAGTCTTCAGTGTCACATGATCCTTCAGAAATCATTCTAATATGCTGATTTATTGTCAGTGCTGGAAACGGTTGTGCTGCTTAATATTTTTTTGGAACCTGTGATACTTTTTTTCTGCATTCTTTGATGAATACAAATTTAAAAAGAAGAGCATTTATTTAAAATAGAAATCTTTTCTAACAATATATACTACAGTTCAAAAGTTTGGGGTCAGTACATTTTTATTCTTTCTTTTTTTTGAAAGAAATTCAAACTTTTATTCAGCAAGGATGTGTTAAACTGATAAGAAGTGATAGCAAATATTTATACTGTTAGAAAAAATATGTATTTTGAATAAATGCTGTTTATTTTAACTTTTTATTCATCAAAGAATCCTGAAAAAAGTATCGCAGTTTCCAAAAAAATTTATAAAAAAAAAACTGTTGCCAACATTGATAATTCTAATAATAAATCAGCATATTAGAATGATTTCTTAAGGATCTTGTAACACTTTATACTGGAGTAATGGCTGATGGAAATTCAGCTTTGCATCACAGAAATAAATTATACTTTAAAAACATTATTTTATATTGTAATTACATTTTGCAAGGTCACTATTTTTTTCTGTATATTTGATTAAATAAATGCAGCCTTGATGAGCATAAGAAACTCCTGTAAAAAAAACATT